TTCAAGGGATAGGCTGCACAATCGAAAGAGGGCAAAAAATTGGGATTGTGGAGCGAACTGGTAGTGGAAAGACAACTCTTATCAATGTTTTGTTTCATTTGGTAGAACCAACAGAGGTAGAAATTAACATTGATGGCCTTAACATCTGCACTCTTAGTTTTCATGATATAAGATCACATCTCGGCATCATCCCACAAGAACCAACATATAAAAGTGTGAAGCTAACGTTTAAGTCTAACACTACCGTTTTGGTCCAAGCTTCATGCAATCCTGATGGTTGATTCAAGGTTCATCCTATGGCTGAAATTTCCTTGAAAAATCAAAGGTATAAAAGAGGGCAGCTCTCCAATTAAAGACACTATAAAAGAAAATCAGTTTCTCTCTTCTTCTTCGACTCTGTAACATTCTACCTTGCTGGGTTCTTTGGTTTACTTTAATTTTTGTAATCTTGGTGCAATCAATTGGGTTGTTGAGTGAAGGTGGTGTTTCCTTCACGGGTAGAAAAGCTTAAGGAGTCTTTCTCTTAGGTTTGAAGGTTACGGTAAAAGAGTTGAGTGACAGATTAGCAAAGTGAGTTGGGTCGTGTTTGAGATTCTGAAATTATACTCTATAAACGATATTGATCTTCTCAGTGCAGTGAGCCTCGGTGTTTCGGAGCTCAACGTGGACGTAGCTTGCTCAAATCTTGCGCAAGTAAACCACAGTAAACTCTTATGGGTGTTTGCTTGTTCTTGATTTCTTTTGTGATTAATTGGTTGATTAGTGTTTAGTTTAGTCTCAAAACGCAACACAACACTTTTTAGTGGATCTCTCAGATACAATCTTGACCCTTTATTAGAGCACACTGATCAGGAGATATGGGAGGTAAAGTTTCTTAGAATTATGTTGGTACATAAACATCTATATAGTGATCACATTCCCAAGTTCAACAAACTTGAACCTTTTTTTCTCATTTCTTTGTACAAGGTTCTTGGAAAGGGTCAATTGCAAGAGGTCATTCAAGAGAAAGAAGAGGGTATAAATTCCTTTGGTAAGAAATTAACTTCTTTGATCTCAGGCACAACATATGTCCATAATTTTTTTTTAAATCTGAATTAGAACTGGTAACCTATTCCTCTACTGATTGCAATTTTTCAAGATGGATCAAACTAGAGCACGGGACAATGACAATTATTTTGCTTGGGACACGCATTACTTAAGAGGAGTCGAATACTGGTGCTTGATGAAGCTACAACATCAATCGACAATGCAACAGACATTATACTTCAAAAAATTATATGAACTAAATTTGCAAAGTGCACTGTAATTACAGTAGCGTATAGAATTCCAACAGTGATGGATTGCAATGTAGTGCTAGCCATAAGTGATGGTGAGTTTGAGCTAAACAACCCCAATAGCAATTTCATATGTTATGTTATGTATGTATAATAACTAAACAGTAATTTTTGTGATGCGTTGAACCGAACAAGGAACTTGATGGAACATGATAAGCCATTGAAGTTGATGAATAAGGAGGGCTCACTATTTGGGCAGCTAGTCAAAGAACACTGGTCTCACACGCCAAATTGAATTGTCCTTTTGGAATACTAGATTAATACAAATGTGCTAGTTGAACTTGAAAGTTTTTAACTTGTCATGGTATTAAATGATAATAAATTGACAAATCTACGTTTACAACCCAATCTCACAATTTTCTCTTATAACCCTAAAGTGGTAGCTGATTATAACCCTAAAGTGTCAGCAGATTGGCACAGTCACATCAACTCCCAACACCTAAGACACTACGAGAATCAAAAGATTGTTCCTTCAGAAGGAACGACATTCCTTAAGGAACAGCGTTGTACATTGTTCCTTGAGGTGGGAAACAACCTTGTTCCTTCATAAGGAACAATCATCGTGAGAAACGATCATTCTTTCATAGGAAACTATTAAAATTATTTTATGCTTGGATGTGGTGTAGTCGACGTGGTAGTACCAACTCAGATAGGTTGTGGGCCTTGATACATTAGGATGCTTTTACATATAAAACGGTACGTTTTGAGTTCTTTAAAAAAAAAAAAAAAAACCACGGTATAAATTAAATAATACGCCGTAATGCATTGGGGCCATTTGATTGTCCCTCGAAATCATCGAGCCTCTGGGTTGGTGGTTAAGTCAGTGGCTTTTCGTTCCCTCGACGAGTCCGTCACTCCTCAACCGCCCCATTTTTCTTGCTTCCTTTTTTGTTTTATATAAATTCTTTGCAACTCCTCACCACTTCATTTCTCTTCCTTTCCCTCTCAAATCAATCTCAATCTCAATCCCTCCCAAATTTCTCTTCTTTTCTCTCCATGGAAGCCTCCACTGCTCTCTCTCGCATCGGGCTGGCGGGCCTCGCCGTTATGGGCCAAAACCTGGCCCTAAACGTCGCCGAGAAAGGCTTCCCAATCTCCGTCTACAACCGTACAACATCCAAGGTCGACGAGACTCTAGATCGGGCCCACCGTGAGGGTGAGCTCCCTTTGACCGGCCACTACTCCCCCCGTGACTTCGTTCTCTCCATCCAACGCCCCAGATCTATCATCATCTTAGTTAAAGCCGGTTCCCCCGTTGATCAGACCATCGCCGCGCTATCCGAACACATGGCTCCTGGCGACTCTATTATCGACGGTGGTAACGAGTGGTACCTAAACACCGAGCGTCGTATCGAAGAAGTTAGCCATAAGGGGTTACTTTATCTCGGCATGGGCGTGTCCGGCGGCGAAGAAGGCGCGCGTAACGGCCCATCGTTAATGCCTGGTGGGTCTTTCGAAGCGTACAATAACGTGAAAGATATTTTACAGAAAGTGGCTGCTCAAGTTGAGGACGGGCCGTGTGTTACCTACATAGGTGAGGGTGGTTCTGGTAATTTCGTGAAAATGGTTCATAACGGAATCGAGTACGGAGACATGCAGTTGATTTCTGAAGCTTACGACGTGTTGAAACACGTGGGAGGGTTAAGTAACAGCGAGTTGGCGGAGATATTTGCGGAATGGAACAGGGGCGAGTTAGAGAGTTTCTTGATTGAGATAACTGCGGATATTTTTAAAGTGAAGGATGAGTTGAGTAATGAGGGTGAGCTTGTGGATAAGATTTTGGATAAGACTGGAATGAAAGGGACGGGTAAGTGGACGGTGCAGCAAGCTGCGGAGCTCTCGGTGGCTGCCCCGACGATTGCGGCTTCGTTGGATTGCAGGTCCTTGAGTGGTTTAAAGGAGGAGAGAGAGAAAGCTTCTGAGGTTTTGAGAGAGGCGGGGTTAAAGGATGGAGTGCTAAATGTTGGAATAAATGTTGATAAGAAGAGGCTAATCGACGACGTTAGACAAGCTTTGTATGCTTCCAAGATTTGTAGCTACGCCCAGGGGATGAATTTGTTGAGGAGTAAGAGTAATGAGAAAGGTTGGAATTTGAATTTTGGTGAATTGGCTAGGATTTGGAAAGGTGGATGTATTATAAGAGCTGTGTTTTTGGATAGGATTAAGAAAGCTTACCAAAGGAATCCTAATTTGGCGAGTTTGGTTGTGGACCCGGAGTTTGCCAAGGAGATGGTGCAGAGGCAGGCAGCGTGGAGGAGAGTTGTGGGGATGGCAATTTCAGCCGGGATTAGCACGCCAGGAATGTGTGCTAGTCTTTCCTATTTTGATACATATAGGAGGGCAAGGCTGCCTGCAAATCTTGTTCAGGCTCAGAGGGACTTGTTTGGGGCTCATACTTATGAGAGGATTGATCGCCCCGGTGCATTCCATACTGAATGGACCAAACTTGCTGGCAAGAGTGGCACTGGTGTTGGTGCATTTAATTGAGCTCCTCCTGCTTGTTTATCTGTATTTTTGGTTCCTTGTTGAGTTGTATGTTTCAATTGGGTGTTGACAATGTTGGTATTTAAGTGAGGATTGTATGTCTCGTTGAGAATTCAATGCTAAGCATTATAAAGGCGTAGCAAAATCATTGTTTAGCCTCACAGTTTTTGCCAATAATAAGAAATGCATGCCTTCTTCATATGCAGTACACAAGATAGAATTCGCTCATGCCTTTTGTTAATTCTTAGCTTTCACCATCATGTTCCTGTCAGTTTATTTCAAAGGAAACTAATACTCATCCCTCTACTTACTTATGGATGTTAGAAATTTATGAAATATTGTATTTTCAATCTCTTTTATCATATAAGATATGTAAGTAGTTGGTTGAAAATTAGGTTTATATAGCAATGATAGTTAGCTTGGAAGTTTATGGAGCAGAAAGCTCTGTGTATCGGTCATTTGATTTCTTAATGCTGGAGCTCGAGTATATTCTTTGGGTGGACTTTTATGGTGGTTTGGTTGGCCAGTTACAAGTAATGGAAGAATTGGTATGATTCTTTTTAATCATAGGTATGTGTTAAATATATGATGCTATGTGTCATCAGAGGACATCTGATTGCGTTAAATATGACTTTGCTTGTATTCTTAGAGATCACATTTGGTTTAGCGTGTTATCACTCTTCCCTCTTAGTTACAGGATCTTATAGTGTTTCTAGTGCTTAATCATTTGACTCCTGATGCTCACTCTCTATCTTCGGTTTGCATACCTTTTGGCGTAATTTTGTCATAATTTATGACATTTAAAATCTGTTTCTTGAACTTCTGATGATGCCCATGGTTGAAATGGTATTAAAATGTGGAAGCTATGGTTGAAATGATATTTAAAATGTGGAAGCTATGGTTGAAATGATGTTTAAAATGTGGAAGCTATGTACAGAGCCTATAGTATATTTGCATGCACTTTTAGGTGAGTATGAATTATTTGACATACGCAGGCCAATTGGATTCCTGAATAATGAATATTACCTGGGCTCTTTGTGCAAGATGGATGCACCAAAATCTCTAGCTCTTGCGAGGCCTGTTAAATCCTCAAGTTCCCATAATGTTTCAAATTTTCGTTTTCAATTTTATAACTATCATTTATTGCTCATGCAAATCTGAATGCAAGTATCACATTGCTGTATAATATGTAGATAGTATATTGATGTGATAGAACAGAAAGAGCAGCATGAGGCTAAAACAAAATTTCATAATGTGGAAATAAGTACTATGGGAAACCTCCATCCTCGAGGGTTGGCTGAGTTCTTGTCACCGTTGCAGAGGGCATTTTGCTCCTACCAACCCATACGGTATCAAGTACGAAATCTTCATCAGCCTGTCTCTCCATTACTTGAATCTTCTTTGTCTTCAAAGCTTTCATTGACAAAATCCCAACGTAACCTATCAAAATCAACCCAGCAAATCCAAGCCCAAACCCAATCACCCACAAATACCACAGAGCATGCTTCTTCTTCAAATTCAATGGAACTACTATGGAGAAATGACCCTGATCTTGAGAGTAACATACATTAGGCTCACTCATTTCAGTCATGAGAAGAGTACCATTTGGGCTAAATGTTACACATTTCGCTTTTGAGACCCTTCCATCTGATAATGATGAATTGAAGAAACGAATCACTATAGGCTTTCCCATTGTATTGAGACTAAGCTTTCTTTTAGCCCGTATATTCCATGCATCAAAAACCATGAAACCAATCACAGGAGTGACGATTGAGTAACCTGGAACACTGTAGTAGTGGGAAGACCAATTGCCAAAGTCTTGGTAGACTATAGCCAGCCTTCTGGCATGAGGCTCTGTTATGGTTCTAGATGGGATATGAAAGTTGCTAAAATTAGCACCGATGTTCCATAACCTCCGGCTTCTGAGCCTTACAATTGAAACTCTCGTACCTGACAGATTAGCCGGGAGAATTGGTTTGTATAGAGCGCCCGAATGGTGAGGCCGGTGATGAACCAAAGTTTTGAAAGCAAAATCCTGAAGATATTCGTCCAAAGAATTGGTAGTGTAGTTTTTTGAGCTATCCACAAAGGGAAAGAAATATAAACAGGGAACCAACCAGATGATTTTGAAGCTCATGTTGAGGCTAAAAAGAGTGGCAAACCAAAATGTTTATACCCTGCTAATGAGAACAATGACAAACAAGACATGGAGTTGAAGTATCAGGAAAGTTGAGGAGAAGAGGCTACAAACGGCAACTTAGTTTGTGGTTTGTTGATGATGATAAATTTCTGGGCATGGCTGGAATGGGACCCTGTAAGAGAAAACTAAAGTTGTTTACATCCTGTAACGAGTTTTGCTGTTTGACTTGAGCCGTTGTGATCCCCATCACTCGTTGAGGTAACAGCGGCTTGATGCTTTAACCACTCCTGTTAATCATTCCCGTCAAAAAAGAAAGAGAGAAATTCCAGCCCATGAACTGCGGGATGCTAGCACTAAAAACGTGCGCTGATTGCTCTCTTCTCTTCACTGACTTACGGGAATAAGCTTTTTGTAGGTGTAGGGTCTCATGGGCACTTGTGTTGGAGTTATGACTAATAATTTCTCAAAGAAAGAAATACATATGAGAAGTATATGCATCATGTGGGCACCTTCTATGATTCTCTTGCACTAATGCATCCCAGAGCCTCTGCCTTATGATGATGCTTGTCTTTCATGAGCAATGTTCTTATGTTTCCTCTCATTTCATTACATGTGTTTAATTTTTAGTTCTTACAATTAAAATTTCCTTTTTTTCGACAACATTAAACTGCAAGCTTACTAATTCTCAGTACTTCCATTGAGGAATAAACATTTTATTTACAGTTTAATTTAAGATTTAGAGAACAATAAGACGAGCTTTGGATGCCTTGAATACGCATAGGTTTAGATTAGAGGTGGGCAGAAATTAGTGCCTTTGAAAAGTAGCCCTTTTGCACATGTTTGAACTCACAAACTTATGACACGGCTTAGCTCAAAAGAACAATTGTAATGCTTGTAACTTTGAAGCAAAAATTTGAAAGTCCAATGAAATTTGCCTCCAAATTTGCATAATTTGTTAACTCTCAACAGAAAGTTTGGGCTGCTTTCTTGTCCAAGTCATTTAGATCTATTATCAAGTCAGAAAATAAATAAATAAATACTATCAGATATATTCTAATCACAATACAATAATACATTTGTAAAATGATGAATTATTTTCTCTGAAATTTTAGTTTTTACAGTGCATAGCCCAAAAGCACCTATACCTGCTGATATTTTCTACAAAGGGCCGTTAGACAAGCAAAAGACCAATCGAACAGGTCTCTATACCCAACATTTTGTGAAAAATACTTATTGCCTGATGGTAAGTTCAGCCCTTAGATGAAGAACTCCATTAATAAAAAAAAGGCTGTCCTCCGCCATAAATGTTGTCCAGTGTACACCAAAAAGATTTCTATACCCAACAGCCTTCCCTCCTGTGAAAGTGTAATTCCCTTTGTATTTGCTCAAGTATTCTTCAGATGGCTTTGTTCTTGCAGCAAACTCATAGTCCACAGTAAATGAAACTGATCCTTTCTCTTGCATCCCCAAAAACAAACCAAAACAGTGAAACGAGCTTTGTTGGTCCATATTGCAGTGTGCTGATAGAAAAAAGCCCTGCCCACCAAGGTGAAATGCCTGTGAATAAACCCGTCCAGCTGGAAAGAGATGTGCACACTCTTCCCGCTTAAGGTCCAGGTACACAATACACTGCTGACGAGGCAATTCGAACTCCACCACCTTCACAGGACGATACTTGTAAGCCCGCTCCACAAAGCGACGATGGATTGCATTGGCCTCCTCTGCTGCAAGAGAGCGCTGCCGGTATGGTGTCTCAGCCTTGAAAAAGAGAGACTCAAGCACAAGCTTGGATGCAAAATCAGGATCAAAGTCATTGCAGGTTAAAACCTTCTTCAGCTTTCGACAGGTCATGTATGGAAAACGAATTAGTCGGCCGAGTCGAGAGCCAAGGACCTCTCGTCGTTCCTCCAATTTTGGATAATGAGTCCGAGCCCACTTCAGCACAAAATCATAAACAGCATCCTCTGAAGCTATCTGGAGATCATCACTGGATAATACTGCCTCAATACCAGCCAAGGGCAAGTGAAGAACCTCTTCCGAAAACCTGCAAAGAAAGACACTGTCTTTAACACTGATTCATAAATTACGAAGGTTTTAGTCAACTAAAACAAAGACATGAATAGCGCATGATTTTCCACTGATTTAACAAGTAAACGAGTGCCACAAGCAGCCCTTTAAACAAAATGTGGTCAAACAATTTGCTCCAATATTATCAAGCCAGCAAAGTAAGAGAAATTTTTGCCAGATAGTATATCTTCACCCATCACATCATATTGATGAACACAAATCAAAATTATCATTGTACCAAAAAAGAAAGAAATTCATATTCAAAGGCAAAAGAGACAACACATTTTTAACGATCAAGAAATTGCTCAAAGAAAGAAAAAGGATATGGATTGAAGAGGGGCTCACTTAGTTATGTCCTTGTATCGTGCAGCAAGAAATTGTTTTGCAGCATCTGTCAGTGGCTGCACAGCTTCAGCCATTAAAACACTGGAAGGGAGGTCCAGATACAGTAAAGCAGACTCACAGGTCATTGGCAAGTCCCTTAATAACCTGCTGCAGTATCTCATGCATGATGCAACCTCAAATTTGTCAGCAGCCATCAGCACGTCCAGCAAAGCAGTAGGAGTGATTGTTGATAAGGTTCTACTATACATGAAATTAAGGAGGTCCATAAGGGCTGCTTCTTCTGCTCAAGGGAAAACAAACAGAGAAGAGACTGAATTATAAATGTTTGTACCAAATTTTTACCAGAAAAGTTCAAAAAATATCTACATTAAGACAAACAAAAAGCATACAGAATTTCACATGTAATTGAATTTACCAGAGGCATGTATTCGCAGAGTTACATGTCGTTGCTCTGACTCTCTCATCCCATTAGAAAATAACTGCAAGAAGCGACAAAGAAGACAAGTCAATAAAGGGAGACACGGTACAATTACAGACAACAAAAAACAGGCCAAGACCACGCACCTTATAAAAAAAGGGACTCTTTGCAGCTAAAATAGGAGAGCTAATATGTACAGTCTTGACCCTAAGAACTGTTGAACAATCCATGCTCCATGATGCATCATTGCTCTGAGTGGCTTCCTCATCTAAAATACATTATATATACAATGAATACAAGATCCCACACAGTGCAATCGAGCAGTAACTAATACATTACAGAAGGTTTGGCCAATATTAAGATCCCAAATATTAATACGAAGGTGGTAAACCCAAAAAAATATGAGAATTAACACTGTTGATTCAGACTAATAATGAAAACAATAATACTACNCTCTTTGCAGCTAAAATAGGAGAGCTAATATGTACAGTCTTGACCCTAAGAACTGTTGAACAATCCATGCTCCATGATGCATCATTGCTCTGAGTGGCTTCCTCATCTAAAATACATTATATATACAATGAATACAAGATCCCACACAGTGCAATCGAGCAGTAACTAATACATTACAGAAGGTTTGGCCAATATTAAGATCCCAAATATTAATACGAAGGTGGTAAACCCAAAAAATATGAGAATTAACACTGTTGATTCAGACTAATAATGAAAACAATAATACCACACTCACAACCTTTTTATACAAACTTTCTCTCACAAACTTATGTGGCAAAAGATGATTGCGTGATTTTAAATTTAAAATAAACTTTCACTCAATCATTTTTTGCCACATAATTTTGTGAGACAAAGTTTGTATAAAAAGATTGTGCGTGTAGTATTACTCAAAAAATATTCGAAAGAACCTAAGAAACAAAGAATGTACCATCACAGTTCAAGTTCAATCCACCATCAACAGGTGATTCCTCAATCATTGCCACAGGTTCCTCATCCTGATTCTCATAGGCCACACCATCCTCGGTGTCTGGCATGATACAATGCAAAATCTGCTCCTCACGTTGCATGAAAAAATCCACGCCTAATGCAAAAAATAAGAAACCAGGTTCTAAAGAAGTGGAGACAAAATTCACAAGAGATTGATAACTAAATCATGCGTGCATGTCTCATATAATTATGCCATAAGCCAACTTAAACACAAAATTCAGAGTATTCGATTAACAGTCTGATTCTAGTACTCGGGAACATCAAACTAAGAGTTTTGCCAATCATTTGTTACCAAATTGAAATTCCATCAAACATAAATCAATCAATTTTATAATAAACGACAAGAAAATCAGACAACGATTAAAACTTTGAAATTTGAATATAAACAATAACGCACAAAACCTACCAGTGTCTTTCTTGATCTCTTCTCTCCGTCGTTTACGGTTGCGGACCCAATCGGCGATGGTGGAGAAACCATCGCCTTCGGATTTAGAATCAGGCAAATCAGGCACGATCTCGATCCTCAGGACCCGATCCGAGAAGTTGCTGTCGTTGAACGCGAATCCAAAATCCGAGTCGGGCGCACCCGGAGAGAAGTCTGAATCCATGATCGTTCGCGGGTCGAAGAGATCGACGTTCGATACTTTCATTCCCAACAATAAACCCTAGGCCCTGATTCAAAACTAAGCAAAATATTCTAAGCTTCCGAAAATGACAAATGTAAGACTTGGATAGTCATAGATTAGTAGGATAAAATTAATTTAAGGGTGACTTTAAAAAGTTTCTTTTTTTTTTTTATTATTATAGAAAACAAAAAGATTTATTGTATTGACTAATAAGGAATATTAATTAATTAACCAAATTTAGGGTTTAAATTAAATTAAATTTATGTATATCATTATACTATGTTATTCTTTTATCCATATTAAAATGGTTTTTTAAAAAAAAAAAACTGTGTTTTAGTGCACCATTTTGATTTTGACTTTAAAATTATTTAAAAAAAAAAACTTTGAATTAACGTAAATACACCCATTTGTGTAAGCCTTATACAAACCAATAAAGTTTACACAAGTCACAAACTATCAAAAAAGGGCAACCGAAGAAGTAAAATAAAACATTTCTACAGTCATAATATTAGGACTAACTAATTTTATTACTATAAAGAGGTTATAACTTAATAGATGTGTAATTACAAAAATTATAGTTTTGATTTCTTATTTTATAATTCATGTTTTAATAATACAGTATTATGATTTTAATTCACATTTTAGTAATATTAGGATTTCAATACAGTGTTTCAATTGCCTATTTTTGAAACGGATAAAAGATCATTTCTTAAAATCAATAAAAATAAGCGACATTGATGGAACTATAAATACAGTTGATGCATGGTCAATTGATGTAAAACCATAGATAATTGTTAATGGTTTTAAGTGCTGCAAAATTGGAACCATTAATGTTAATGAATTGTAAGTTACAAATGAAGTGGATGAGGAGAATAAAAGAGTCACCATAGAATTGAGTGATCAGATTCGACAAATTCACTACACTAATCGAATATATATTATTGTCTTCTTCGATTATCGAAATGAGCAACAAATCATATATACTTTAATCAAAGGAGAAATCATTGTTGCAATTAGACAAAAAGAGAAATGAAATAATCCTAAGGATAATAGTATGGAAATCCAGAAAGTCTTATGCCATGAAGCTCTAAAAATGCTTGAGAAATTAAAAATATTTTGGTTTCAACAAGAAGGTATCCATACTAACGAGCTATTATGTACTCGTAAGGTAAAATATGTGATAACAACTCTAAAACATAAATCATTGTCTCAAACAATTTTAAAGAAATATTTTATTTCATTTTAAACCTTTTAATTTTACATAACATATATTTTTTTTTGTAATATATATATAATTATTACTACGTAGAGGCAACTTTCTTGAAAGTGTGAATTAGAAAAATTATAACTTATTATAATGTAGAGTTTATTCTTGTTTATAACTATCCCAAATTGGGACTATAATTTTTTATAACTATATAGAGTTTATTCCTATATAGAGGTTTTACTGTATATATAAAATGTATAGATAGCTTTGAAGTGTTAATCTTTTTAGACCCGAAAAATATGAGTAAATTAATTAATTTTCATTTAATTATAAATGTATAATTGCTTTTAATAAATAAAATTTTGGGATTTAATATTAATTAACACACTAATGACTTTCGAACCAGGAGAGTAATGGGCTAAATTAGTTAAAATTGTGAAGGGCCAACCCGGCAAAATCTACAGAGTTAGAACATGGATGAGCCCATTTAATTTGGGCCAATATGGGCTGAGCCTAAAGTGAGAAAATTTAGTAGAAAGTAGGATTAAATTAAACTTTAGTAGTGTTGATGTATGCCGAATCTAAACATGGTAGGTGGGTTTCCAGAGGTATTGTCTATATCAGATCCAGACACATGGTTAGGCCATCCTTCTACTGGATCTAGTGGGTTCTGGAGGTATTGTCCTCTTTAGGCCCTAGGTCCGCACGATCTCAAAAGACGCATCTAGATGGTGTGAGTATTCTTGTACTATATAAGACTTTAATTTGGGTCAATATGGGCTGAGCCTGAAGTGAGAAAATTTAATAGAAAGTAGGATTAAATTAAACTTTAGTAGCGTTAACATATGCCAGATTGAGACATGATAAGTAGGTTCCCAGAGATATTGTCCGTATCGAATTCAAACACATGGTTAGGCCCTCCTTATACCAGATCTAGTGGGTTCTGAAGGTATTATTTGTTTTGGACCCCAAGATTTGTATAGTATTGTCCTGAAAAGACGTCTCTAGGTGGTGAGGGTTTCTTTGTGTTATACAAGCAACCAAAACTCTCGTCTCTTGACTGACATGAGACTTTGGCATCAATAAGTGGAATTAATTAAAATAAAACACAGAGTAATGGTTTTGATTCCCACATCTGATTTTTAATTCTAAATTTTATTGTGAAGTCTGCTTCAATAGGATATGAGGGTATTAAGCACGACCCAATTATATAAATGTGACTTTGCATAATCTCTAGATTTACGTCTAAATTCTTCTTGAACAATCCAAAGTGGTGAGCTTTTTCTTTGATATATATCTTATAACTAAAGCTTCATTTAACTTTTGATACGAATAATTCATCAAGTGTTGGCGTGTCTTCCTCATCCCCAAGTACAATGTTTGTTGATTAATCAAATCTTTTTTCTTAATTAATGCTAATTAAGGGTAATTAGTAAGGCCTTTTTAATGTGAATCTTTCTTTTGCTAAATTGATTCCTCACTTTAATTACTTATAATTACAAGTGGAAGAACAGTTCAAAGTTACAAAATTCTGTTTCCCTTTTGTTACAATAAGAAATTTAAGTACCAACTTTAATAGATCAACATGAAGTTTGTTAATATTTTGGAAACACTTTCTTTATTGCCGACTCCGGCATGAGGAATTGAAACCATGCGTTTGCTTGTGGAATATGAGTAGCCGAGGCATCTTAAAACAATTTTAATTTGATTTCTTGGATACAATAGCAACCAAATGAAGTCTTGTCACATTTAAGTATTAAGCAAATAAGGATTCCTTTGAGAGCAATGAAAACAAAGAGCAACAAACCACCATGGGATGACATATCGGTCAACTAGAATTATTGGATGTATTATTTAAAAGGTCTTAAGTTCGATTTACCTGAATTTCTAATAGGGGTGGCCATTGAGGGGATTTACTCGACTGTCAATTTCAAGATCCTAACAGATTAGTTGAAATATATATAAACTAACCTGAACACCTCGATCACCAAAAAAAACAAAAAAATGTTTTATTATATGTTCGGTGTTTATTTTTTATTTACAAAAACATGTGTACTCAAATTCAATTGATAGGTATATCTTAAGTGGACGCACTGGTATGAAGTTCTCTATTTTAATTAATTTAGGCCTTCCATCTTATGACAAGTCTTGCTATGCGTTAGAATTATGTAATTAAACTTAATTAGGTAATTAGCACACCTGATGAAATAGTTTTATTGATTTGATACATGTCAAATTAATAAATTCAAATAGAAAAAAAAAAAAAAAAAGAAAAAACTTTGAGAAGAAAGCACCATGACACCATGTCTACTACTTTTTCGAAAAAAGATAAAAACAAAAACCAACAAATAAAATTAGTCCCACTTCCAGGTAAGATGCATCATCATATGCTGGACTAAAATCAGCAATAATGCCAGAAATTAGCTGAGAAATTTGATTGAAAATCTGACTAAAGGTTGTGTTACAGCTACTAGAGAGAATATTAATAAATCTGATATTATTAACATTTAGTGAATAGTTAAAAGTTGCAACTGTAACTGAAGAAAGACAGAGGGAAAGAAAAATCCAGGAGAAAGGGGTGGCATAAATCCAATTTTGCAGATTGCAGAAGAAAGAATAATGAAAAGAGATCCCAAGGAGCATGCATGTGGCCGTGGGCAGGTAAGAGTGATTATGGCAATGCCCATTACGACAAAGAGATGGATATAAAAATTAAAAGAAAAATGATGATAATAAGTTGTAGATTATATATATATATGGTAGAAAAGAAAAAAATAATATTGACAGAAAAAGGAGAAAAAGCTAGCTGGTGAAGCATAAGGTCATTTCATGGGACAACCCCATTTGTCCAATAAAGCAAAGAAATGCCTTGCGTCGGTACTTGTCTTTCTGCTATATTGCTGACGGTTTTCTGTGATATTTTCTCCCTCTCTCTCTCTCTCTCTCGCCCGTCTATGAAGGGAGATGTCTCTGCATTATGTTTTCTAACTACATTTAATATTTTCTTCATTCAATTCTATGTTAGCCTTTTAGAATACAACAATATAAACATCTGTTTCCCCCCTCTTGTTTTTTAAAGAATTTTCTGTGTGTTAACTGGCAGCTTAATTTTTTTTTCTCTTTTTGGTCAAATAAAACATCGCTCAAGTTCCAAAACACTCACTGCCTTGATTAGAATTCTTGGAGCTCTAGTCTATCTGCATGCAGCTTTTCAGGGGATAATATTGTACCGTGCTTTGGATCGATTTTTCATAAAAAAATGGTCTAATCCAAGGGGTTTTTAGCTTATTATTAGACCGTTTACTTAGCTAATCGTCTAATAGTAATATGAGGTTATTTTAGCGGAGAAATGTTTTAACTCACCGTGCATTAATGTGCTGTAACTCGATGGCAATCAATAAGGGACAGAATAAACTATTACCGTCTAATCACGGGCCCATTTTCTTATATATATTTTTAGAAACTCTTGAGTAGCTTGTACGCATACACCCACACAGTGCTTTAACTAATGAGGTACAATTAATTTAGTGTAATTATGAAGAAGATTAACCGATTTTTCTTTTTCTTTTTTTCGGGTTTAATTCTAGAAAGATGTCATGCTGATGGTTGGCATTTGAAAGGATCATTGGATGCTAGATTCAAGTTTAATTAACAGGTAGAAGACTGCATACACAGATATCTCTGTGAACTGGAAGGAATATAGAGGGTATCTCGGCAGTCAAGTGCCAGGACAAATTATAGCTGAAGCCTGAAGGTGCAAGCTCATCACGCCAGTATGGCCATAAATTCCTTGTTGACTCATTAGATGTTAAAGTACAATTTCTAGAGAACTTTGCAAGGTGTGCCTGCCAAGGGATATTATTATCATCACCATGAAAAATCTAAGTTATTAGTTTAGAATCTTTAGATTATCAAGAAAAAACAAAGTAAATTAAATATATAAATTAGAGGTACGGGGACAACAAATCTGTAAAAAAACACACTCTCAAATAACAATGTTATCACTTTTGAGTAGAATATATTTCATCACCAAGCATCTTCTGGTATGATGCCATTGTAAAGCTTTTAACTCTGGCAACACCTCCTTGCCTCTCTCAAGTTGACCTTGTTCCTGTTTGAATGAAATTATTTATTCTTATTCCAGGAAACTGGAAAGGAAAAAAAATATTAGTTGTTTTTATTTTTTTCAAAAGTTGGCTAGATATTTAAACCATTAATAGCTAAAACTAATAAAAATTGCATCAAAAAAATTATAAAGACGGAGTGGCAAATGAGTCTGTTATTTTCCTTTCCTTGAGCCTTGTGTGTTGATGGCATATATTATTAATTAGTAATTGTATGTATTGTACCAAATCCAATGTAGGATTATGTAAACTTGAAAAGAGAAAAAGAAATAAAGATTGGAAATGATGTACAAGATTGATTAGATGGATGGATGGACAGATGAGAAGAAAAAGTTGTGATTGGACATGAAAGGTTGAGATGAGAAGGGTGAAGATGAGTTAGGGCTTAGGGTTAAAACACAGCAAGAGTAAGAAAGAGGGTACACCACTTTGATAGGCAGCCTTTGATGTTGACAAGACAGTATTTTCAGTGAGATGACTGAGAATCTGATGTGATCTTTCCCCACAAATTATATAATATTTCCTCCTCGCCATCATACTTTCATTGGCTCTTTGTGGTTCCCTCCACCCTCCATTGTCGTTTCACAATTCCTTCTCCTCTATAATTATTTAACGTAGTTTTGTGAATGCAATGCTTTTTGGACATGTTCTATAATTAGTTTACATTTCCTCAATTACGCTTCTTTTTGTATAAATAAGTCTCAAATATTTGCAAATGATAAGTTGGGATTATGTCAATGCGCATAAGTTTATCAATTGTATATTATATACCACAATTATATGTGTTCCAATGCTTCTTCTGCTTACATAAAAATTCCCATACTAAACCTCTTTCCTACACTTTGTCTCGTAGTGATAAGAAGATTATATCCCTAATTCTTCCAATAATAATCGTAGCAACATAGGATAAGAATAACCAAAAGATATGATAACTACAACCAATTTCAGCGATCTCCAAATTAACGAGAAGAAAGTATTATACCGGTTTCGGGAGGATGATAAGAGCCTACATCTAATGACTTCCCTTTTAAATAAAATAAAACTAGGCTCCTTCGTGTTATGTAAGACTAAAGCAAATCCCATGATAAAATCAAAGTGCAATCTCCAGCCACTCTTTAATTAATTACCTAAACCTTTAGTTAATGTATTTTAATAAATTTTTATGTATCCTTACGCGAATGTGCACCCTCGATCATCAATTTTGATAGTTATTGTAGGCAACTTTTTCTTGCCCAACTCATGCCCTGTCAAGCCAAAAACCACTACCATGTGTCTCTTCTCTCTTTATATATTTTCATTCTTTCAGTTTCAGGTATTTACTTTTACTTGAATAAGTACCTGAAACTAATTGTAGAAGGAAAACAAGTTAATTTCCAAGGAGTGCAATGGGCTTATGCATAAAGGAACATTGAGTTGAGAGATGTAGACATATCTAGCTGTGTTTGTCTGTATAGTTGTAGAAGACGTAGCACTAATTGTATCCATATGTTTTTGCCCTTTTCACATGATGACAAGTGCTTTAATTGCAGGTTAATTTTTTTTATATGTTGGGTTTTTCTTAAATCCAAATGCCGTTGGTTGGTACCTCTAATTACGATATTATTTAAGCAAACAGGTTGAAGCTTTACACGATTAATTATGCTTGCTGCCGATACATATTGAAATGAAACACGATTTGATGACGACACTGCGATTCTTAGCTAGCTTTAGGTTAAAGTTTGAATTAATAAAAGCTCTTTTTAGGCTATACAGTATACAATGAAGTGTGAACAAATATTAGCAAAGTATCTAGCATTATTTACAATGGCGGTAGCCAAAGAAAAGTTGGAATCTTGAAGCGAATTTGGAATCTAATCTATTATAATAATACTCTCTTAAAGTTTGTTCATGATCATCAAGAATTTGTAAACTGTTTAAACATCTTCTGAATGAAGATGATAATTTTAACTTAGATTAATTTAGTGGTTGTACTTACAAATTTGTTTTCAGACAAAGTTGAACTGTCATATCCGGCTTTAAAAAATTAACTATAATGTTATGCGCATGTGCTAGACAATAAAATTAATTAATAAGATGTTGTCATACTAAATTATGCTAATGGGAAAGTTAAATTTTTACAAAAGCAAAAAGGTTCCTAAAAACTTGTCAAATTAGGGTTGTTCCTATCCAATATAAGCTTGTTCAGCGTAAACGGAAATCCTAGGCATATATAGGTTTTTCCTGGAATCTCTAGGGTTTGATCACTGTTTTACCAACTTTTCATCAAGTTTTTTAGTTTAATAATTTCATCCCACTTAGCAAAGTAACACAGGACCTACGAATACGTAGAGGCCTATTTATAAAAACTGAAGTTAAATCCAATTTGAGAGGTGAAAGATATACAAAATATACATGTAAATCTTTACGTACGTATTCATACATTGAAGGAAAATAGATATATGAGCCCAAGATTGTCTTTGAAGACTAAACAAGTAGACTTGCGAACAAGGGCTTGGATGCAAGTACAGTTCATGGTTACTATATTATGGATTAAATATAATATAATTATATAAAAAATCTGGCATTATGCAAAGGAAGTGATGGGCTCTACATAATGCAAGGGATTGGTGGAGGCTTCTACATGGAAACAAGAAAAGAAAGTAGCCAAGAATATATGAATAACTCTCTTTTATTTAGTTTATTGTAAGAAATATTTTAAATAATTATTTGTGTCTCATCTCGTCTTTCTTTTAGCTGTATATAAAGCCATTCCTCCCACTCAGAGATCCATGAGATGCTTGTTTAAGCTACTGATACTAGAAGCTCTCCCCAGTCCCCTCTTTCTCCTGTTGACTCCTTTTCCTGAGATCTTAAAAGAAAAAAGAAAAAAAAAATTAATAAAAACACTTTCTTTCTCTCTCCTTCTACCTACTTTCATCGCTTGGACTTATGGTCCATGTATTTCGTCTTGTTTCTGTTTAACTATTCCCATTTTTCTGCCACTTCGATTGTGCTGTAATCTGAAGAAGAGAGTTAATTTCCATGGGGTTCTTTAGGGTTTCATGGGACATATGGGCTTGTTATTTTTATCTATACATGTGATACCAGCATAGATCTGTGTATCAGCCTTGCAATTAGGCAAAGATAAGTAGGCCAGGTTCATCAATTTTGTATATTATGCTTTTTGTTTTACGAGTGTTAATGTTTCATAGTCAAATTTTGTGGTTTTTTTATCTCTCAAAGTTTTCTTCAACTTTTCTTGTTATTTACAAGTTAGAGCCAAGAGAGCTTTCTTCAGTCCACTCATGGGTGGCAATAGGATTTAATTAGCTGCCGACTCATTCATCCAAATACTGAGTTTAAGGATCAACAAAAATACCCAGTAAATGAGTGAATGATGCGGGAGACAAATTGAATCTTAGGCTTCCTGTACTTGGACTGAAGGGAGCTCCCTTTGCTTTTAATCTTATCCATAACTCTTTTACATATCTTTAGATCTTTAATTTTTATTACTATATATATACATATTTTTCTTTACAAATAACGCACACTAAGCTAATTAAAGATTAATATGCATTATGGTTATCATATGCAAGTTATTCTTTCCAAATTTAAAGCACTTGGGACGCTGAGGTAATGACAACTACAGAGATAACCCTTATTCTTCAAGACTACTTATCCTTAACTTTGTGGTATTAGATTTCTATACATGTTCTTGTTTGTTTGGTGACCTGCTCAAGTTATGCATGTTTTTGGATTTATATTATTTTTCTCATGGTTTGCTATTTCTGTAGAGTTGAGAGAATATCAGAATACCCAGCAGATTTAACTAGGGTTGAGTGAGGTCAGTCATGTAATATTTGTTTTCTTCTTAAAACTGTATCGATACAAATAGGGTTTTTCCAAATTTTTCAGCTTTGATTGTTAGTCTAATTTACTGATCGGTTTATGTTCATGTAGTGGTTTGGTGCTTAAAACTTTGAAAGTGCAGCAGGGTGGGTTTAGGGTTTCATCAAAGGCAAAGCCGCAGTTATTGTTAAAGGATTGTTCTCTCAAAAAGGCAGCGCATGAGGGAGGGATAAGTTTGCAAGCAAGCTCACGCTCTACGACAACATCGTCTTGGGTTTTGCTCTCTTAGTGTAACAAGTTCCTAGACATGTCTCTCAGTCTACAATTACCGAAATATCCTCTCCATCGGTGCTTGGAAAATACTTCATAGTCTTTTCCTCTCTTCCTTGTACTTTTAATTTCTTCTGCCGCTTGAGCCTTGAGTTATCCATATACATAATCTTTTATATATGGACAATGTAATCCAGGTGTCTTGAGTCTGGAGGCGCAGATTGTTACTTAGGTTCCCGTAATCTTTGTATTTCTATTCTCTAATACGACTCACATATGATCATGATCTTAAAATCTTTTTCTGTGTTTTGTGTATGACCGACTTAAGAGTAAACGTATACCGACTTAAGAGCAAACGTATATACCGACTTCAAAGTTTTCACTGTAATTAATTTGTTCACAAGGATATAAACTACTCGATCCAAGACATACTCAGGATTCTGAGTAAGTCGGTTGATTAAAGTTATAAATTTACAATAAAATATATAATGAAATAAGAAGTATAAAAAAATTTATTTTTAGAAGTTGTATATATTAAAACATTAAATTTATAATTGTCTTCGATGTTTTGCATATTTTGAAAACGATATATAATTGTTTCATTATAATTCTATCAAATCTTTCTCAATATATATAATGAGATAATCATTTAATAATTAATCTCTTATTGGATTCTATAACGATTTTTTACAATCTTTATTGATATAAATGTTAGCTCTTTTAACACTTGTTGAATGTTAGCTTTTTTAACATTTGTTGCAATAGGTAATATAAAGTTAATTTCACGAAGAAAAAAACCAAATGATACTACTTTCTTTTTGGTTTGAACCAATTTTTCAGTAAGAGCATCAATTTTATTTAATGTCAAAAAATCATTATTAGAGTGCTTACTAAGAAACTATTACAACAAAATTGTTCTGCGAGAAAAAATAAAAGTTATCGTACGTAAAAGGTAGCATTTTTCTTTTAGCTTATTATTATAATCTACTAAAAAAAAGAGGTTTTGGTAACACTTTTTCATGTTATTAATAGTTATTTAAATTTTATTGTTGAGTATGATAATTTTAGCTAACATTTCGTAAATACAATAAATTGGTTTTTCGTGATATTCTTAAACTGTTATAACTTACTTTTTTTAAACATTTTTAAAATGTTATATAGATTTATAATGTTGTTCATAAATTTATTTTAACAATGTTAAAATATTATAAAATAATTATTAGTAAAAATATAATATGAGAAGAAATGAAGTACCGAGAAAAATAAAAAATGTTATAAAATAATTATTAGTAAAAATATAATATGAGAAGAAATGCAGTATCGAGAAAAATAAAAAAAGTCTTAATTAATAAGTCATTTTGTGAAGCCAAACATGAAATTAAATAGAGTTAAAATTATAAAATCTATAAAATATTAGTACTTCTTTTAAAAGTTAAAGTGGTTCATTTGAACCCAAAGCTCAGGTGGCTACGTGCCTCTCTACCCAAACAAAGCTTAATGAAAGCTAAAAGGTATTTTGGCAATGGCAATTCATCAACAGTGGGCTAATGATCCCATTCTCAATTTCTCTATTTATAGTTGAGTAATCTGATTGCGATCTGGAGTCTTGATCTGATTGTGATCTAGAGTCTTACAGCAAGCTGCGGGAGATGTATGCAATATGCACTATTAACTTTTGAACAGCAAACCTAACAATTTAATGGTAATATTTTAAAGCTTAATTAGCGTAAAGAAAATGTTATTTGTAAATTTTAAGCGGAATACATTACATTTTATGTCGTTTAAGTAGAGAATTCAGAATTTAATGACATATTACAGGTAAACTATTCCTCCGTTAATAACCAATCACCATTCTGAAAGAGAATGTCAACTTACTTTTGTTGATGAAGTATAATTCTCAGTAAATTATAGATATGCTGACTCTTGACGAAACAGTAGAATATAATTTGTATTACAAAAGTGGGTTCTTCCTCTTAAAAATATAAATATGATAAACACAAAGTTAGGGTTCTCTTCCTTGTTTCCCTAGCAAAAACGAGTGAATTAATGACAGGTGCCATACTTTTGTTGTAAATATTTATGGTTCTGTCCTCCAAACGAATCTCTGTGAGGAGAAAAAACAATTCAAGTCCCACCACAGATGTTTTTGTTTTATAGGTCTTTATATCAATCACACACTACTCTTTTTTACCTCTATAAGCTCAGAGACACTATGCTAAATATGGATACGAGCTTTTCCACCAAGTCTCTTTTCCACTTCTTCAAAATCCAACTGGCTCTTTCTGTGTCGTGATTCATCATATTGCACCATCTTTAAACAACACAAGTGCTATTTTTCTTTGGCATTTTGATGGATTTGGGAATTTTCCACGTGCCCCAACCCCGGTGGTCCCTATGAGGATTATGCAATAAATTTAGTTTAATCAATCTGAGATTTTAGCATGTTAAAAATTGAATTTGATGATATCTTTCCTTTATTCTCTGGGGCCTGGATGTTCCAATCCATTTGGAAAAGGCTTAGTGCAAATGCAGTGGATTAATTTCTTAATCACAATAGTCATATCCAACTTCATCTTCAAGATCAAAGACTAAATCTTTTCTTTTGTGGGATGTGTTTTTGTTTATAAAAACAAGATACGGAGATTAATTTCTTTTGGTGGCATATATTACATGATGTGACAATCACCAGATTTTTTGTTTAACTTTTGAAACTAAACAACAAAACTCAGGCTCATCCTTTTCTCTTGTAGATAAGTGAGAGACACGACTCTTATTAAATTTTATTTCTCTTGGATCATAACTCATTTCTAACTTAAAAACAATTTCCCTAGCTTGCTGTAACAGGTGATCTTTATCCATCAAGTGGCTGCTAATCAAACCCATATATGTGAAACTATCCAGCTGCCAAATACTTCAATTATTTATTTTCTTTTATATTTATGGAAATTCAGAATCATTCATGTTACCCCATTGAAGCATAATACCTAACTAGCAACTAAAGAAATAATTTCATGATCAGAGCTGCAAACTTTGACCATGGTGGTAGTGGTTTATTTACAAGTACTAATAATTAATCATCAGAGATACTGATAATCAGGCTTTTCTGGATAAAGGGAGACATTTGCATTTGGAGCCAACCAAAAAATGGTAAATTTATCCAAAGATATATAGGCTTGATAGCTGTAGAGTTAAGGGTTGCCTAAGCTATTCAATGTTCCAATAAATATATATAGTTATCCAAAATCCTGAGGAAAGTTAGTGTGCAAAGTGCCTTTGTCGACCCTCAATAATCGATACCACATTTTAAACATAATCTATTATCTAAACTGTTCTTCTAATTCAGTGCTTTAACCAATTAAGATTTGAAGAAAGGAAGAGAAAGTGAAGAGAAAAATCTCTGGTGCTTCTTTCCAATCGAGAATGCTTTCATTGTAGGCCGTCACAGACACTTTTCAAAGACCCTTCTTTCTATACTAGTTGTCATTAAAAGTTTGACATGTTTGCAGCTTTTCTTTTTTCAACAAAGCTAGTTATTACCAGTCTAATATTATTAATTCTTCAACATTTAAATACTAGAGAAAAACTGATATGGTATCCAACCACTTCGTCAAAAGGGATTGCTAAGTTGATTTTCACAGAATTAATATTGACTCTTACTTCAAATTAAGGTCTATGCTTTCACACTTAAACATTTTATTATTCTTTTTAGGGAATGAAAAGGAAAAGAAAACAAGCCTTAGTGGATTTCTCTGTTGAAGGCATGCACCTCGATGCACAAGATTAAACATTCAAACATTGATACACATCATGGGCAAATGAATAAAAAAGATGACTGAATTTATTTTCAACCCTCAGATCATTTTATTGACCCTGTGGTCCAAAAACTTGATTTTCGCAATTTTACTTTTACAACTATGTCTGGAACAAAATGTCTTTGCAGAGTTAGCCCCAAGTCCCCAACCAAGCCACTTGTAAATGTTCCTACAGATATAGCATTCTTAAATATATATAGTTCATAGGACCAATTAAAATCATATGATTGCATACTTTTTAATGGTGTAAAAGGTTGAATAAGCTTATTAAAATGTGATTTGTCACTTTCAAACAAAGAGATAACTCAAATATAGCAGTCCATTTCTAAGTTTTATAGGGACGTGTAACTGCAAGTTGCAACTCTAATTGAAACAAAGCTTTGATATGTATGTGGCTAAGATAAGGATAAGGTATTTGAGTTTAGCCCATATAAGAAGTTGACTAATATAGCTATAGAGCTTTGTAGGGAAGGAAATATGGTGGAGATATTTGAAGTTGGACCCTGTGAAAATGCCTATCAGATGGGATTTCTGATAGGTCAAAGGTTCTCTAATTTGATAAGAAGCAGGTTAGCTAGAGACCTTATCCTTCAAAACCAGCTTCTTCAATTTGCTGGAACCCCAGAGTCACGTTCTTTCATTGAGGCAATTTCAGAAAATAATCGAAACAAGTTTCCAAGATACTGGGATGAGCTTTTAGGGACTGCAGCAGGATGTGGTGTGCCTGTTCTTGAGGTAAAGTTGATAACAATTAAGGCCTAACTGTGTGTTGTTTATGTCATATCATACTGGTATTTTAGTCGCGTTATAGTTGTTCGTGTGCAGATTATACTTATCAACTTCAGGAAGGAGATTCTTCCATTCATATCAAAGACTGAGATCAGTTCAAATGTTGATACCGCAGATGACTGTTCTGATGTTCTTGTTGTAAACGATTCAATGGCCATTGCTGCTCACAATGAGGACGCAAATGCTGCTCTAGTTGGCCACACGTACGTTATAATTTCATCTTTTTGCAGTTTGGTATATGCAATGTAGCAGGCGTCTGTCGAATGTAATGTTTTCATATTTTGCAGATATGTGATAAAATGTGAACTGTCAAATGGACTATCTTTCATGGCTTATACGTACGCTGGGGAGCTCCCAAGCTGCGCCTTCGGTTTCAAAAGTCATGGTTTGGTAAATTATAAGGAATAAACAAGATTAGGTTTGAAATAAATGAAAAAATGATAATGTTTTGCAGTGAATGGATGATAATGTAAGTGTTCTGTAATATCTCTTACTTGCAGAGTCTAAAACATTTTCTTTTCATATCCCTAACTTAGGCATTCACGCTGAACTCAGTACCCCCAGCTGAAGATGAAATTGTGGCAGCCGGCATAGGGCGGAATTTTATCTCACGGGATCTCCTGGAAGCCACAAGCATTGACGACGCATTAACTGTAAGAACTTACCAGTCTTTCACTTCTCACCTTTTGGAATTCAAGTTGAACATTGTAGGTCTTATAGCTTGATTTTTCTCTTCAGAGAATACGTTCATCAGAAGTTTCTGTGGGACATAGTTATAACCTAATAGACATAAAGACACGCCAAATTTTGAATGTCGAAACGGCATCAAGGAACCGGGTTTCAGTTCATAATATTGGACCAACACCATTTTTCCATGCAAACATGTATCTCCATCTGGAGGTTCAGCAGGTAAATTATATGATGCATTGAACGGCTGCATCAAGGCAGGAGCATCACACTACAGCACTTGGGAATTATAAAAAATTGTGGTGTAGAAGCCTCTACGCCCAGATGCAGACTCATCAAATAGTTTCACATAGAATTTCTCAATCAATTCAATCTTTCAGCTTTCGTTAAAAATGAACTAAACTTGTGAGTTTTCAACAAAGGTACAAGATGAGAATTCAATAAGCAGGCAAAAAAGAGCAACTGTGCTACCAAAAAGATCGAAGGATGATTTCCTATCACTTCTTGGAGATACTAATCATCCAGAATATCCGATCTACATGATAGGTAATTTGAAGGATAATTTCAACAGCTTCTCGTTGAAATATTATCTTGCTTACCATATGAGACCTTATTTTCAGGTCCAAAACTCTACACATTATGTACGGCAGTAATCAATCTGGATGAACAAATACTAACGATAATTGAAGGGAATCCGAAGAAAGGAGAAGTTTCTCATGTTTTCTCTATGTCCTCGGAAGATTTTAAGATTGCTCAATAAAAAAGCTCTAGCAGAATGCGTTAGCTATGCAGGTTCATATAGGCCTAACACATGACCATCGACACACCGCATGGCTGCAACCTGATGACAAGCAAATAGTTTTACAATTTGAGATCATTATCGAACTCGAGGAAGAGTCTTGGTGAAGATTTCTGTAGAAATAAAGCTCAATACCTTTCCATGAATCTCATATTTGATGGGACCGTCTAGCTCAGCTCCTAGTGCCATTAATTTTGTGATTGTACTATTAATGTCTGTCACTGTGAACGATAGTAAAGATGAATATCCCTTCTGCGTGACATGGTCACTGTAAACTGGGTTAGAAACCAGCATTTCCAATTAGAATCAAAACACAGACTCCATTCGCTGAAATGCTGAATCAATTAGACTGATTATTGCATTCCTTATTGTATTTATATACATTGAATTTGCTTTTAAATCTTAAAAATTAGCTCGATTATCAAGTTGAATGAAAATGCAGCCAAATTACAACTACTTCCCCACCAAAAGGAAGCTCATGACAGGGAACTTCACCAGAAAAAAACTACTATATTAAGTTAGTAAAATTCTCTACCTTATCAATAGCGAGAACATTTATAGAATGTAAATTATGTTAATGCAATGCAGTTTATAATATATGGTTTCTTGTAGACAAATTATCAAACAGAAGCAAGGCAGAGAAAAAACCTCGGGGATTGCATGAGGGCGAGCTTGAGGGGACCAGACTGAAGTTCTGCCCAACGGAGAGTGCAGATATTAACAGTAAAGTCAAGTCCCTCCGAGTAGAACCGAGCTGCTCTTGGGACGTCTTTGTGTAGTTGCAGTATCCACCTGAACGACGCCGCTGCCATCTCGTCTCCACTTTCCCTTCAAGCCTCACTTTTGAATGTGATTTCTCTCTGAGTCAGTGGGAGTGAGATAGCTGAGGTGAACATGATTGAGCCCAATAATTCAAACGCTCCGGTCATAAATGGCCCATTGACAATCACTTAGCAGATTGGGCCCAAAAACAAAATATTGGGTTCGTTTGTTTCCCTGTTTCTACACTATCCTATTCCAATTTTTTTTGGCAAATTACATCCTTCAATCAATTTGTAACCTTTTAATTTAATCTAATTCCCATTAATTATTTCTGGCGTGTATACAAAATGGAATTTGTAAATGACGTTTAATCGAGAAGAGAGGCAACTTTGGATCTCTAATTTGATAAGAAGCAGGTTAGCTAGAGACCTTATCCTTCAAAACCAGCTTCTTCAATTTGCTGGAGCCCCCGAGTCACGTTCTTTCATTGAGGCAATTTCAGAAAATAATCGAAACAAGTTTCCAAGATACTGGGATGAGCTTTTGGGGACTGCAGCAGGATGTGGTGTGACTGTTCTTGAGGTAAAGTTGATAACAATTAAGGCCTAACTGTGTGTTGTTTATGTCATATCATATTGGTATTTTAGTCGCGTTATAGTTGTTCGTGTGCAGATTATACTTATCAACTTCAGGAAGGAGATTCTTCCATTCATATCAAAGACTGAGATCAGTTCAAATGTTGATACCGCAGATGACTGTTCTGATGTTCTTGTTGTAAACGATTCAATGGCCATTGCTGCTCACAATGAGGACGCAAATGCTGCTCTAGTTGGCCACACGTACGTTATAATTTCATCTTTTTGCAGTTTGGTATATGCAATGTAGCAGGCGTCTGTCGAATGTAATGTTTTCATATTTTGCAGATATGTGATAAAATGTGAACTGTCAAATGGACTATCCTTCATGGCTTATACGTACGCTGGGGAGCTCCCAAGCTGCGCCTTCGGTTTCAACAGTCATGGTTTGGTAAATTATAAGGAATAAACAAGATTAGGTTTGAAATAAATGAAAAAAATGATAATGTTTTGCAGTGAATGGATGATAATGTAAGTGTTCTGTAAAATCTCTTACTTGCAGAGTCTAAAACATTTTCTTTTCATATCCCTAACTTAGGCATTCACGCTGAACTCAGTACCCCCAGCTGAAGATGAAATTGTGGCAGCCGGCATAGGGCGGAATTTTATCTCACGGGATCTCCTGGAAGCCACAAGCATTGACGACGCATTAACTGTAAGAACTTACCAGTCTTTCACTTCTCACCTTTTGGAATTCAAGTTGAACATTGAAGGTCTTATAGCTTGATTTTTCTCTTCAGAGAATACGTTCATCAGAAGTTTCTGTGGGACATAGTTATAACCTAATAGACATAAAGACACGCCAAATTTTGAATGTCGAAACGGCATCAAGGAACCGGGTTTCAGTTCATAATATTGGACCAACACCATTTTTCCATGCAAACATGTATCTCCATCTGGAGGTTCAGCAGGTAAATTATATGATGCATTGAACGGCTGCATCAAGGCAGGAGCATCACACTACAGCACTTGGGAATTATAAAAAATTGTGGTGTAGAAGCCTCTACGCCCAGATGCAGACTCATCAAATAGTTTCACATAGAATTTCTCAATCAATTCGATCTTTCAGCTTTCGTTAAAAATGAACTAAACTTGTGAGTTTTCAACAAAGGTACAAGATGAGAATTCAATAAGCAGGCAAAAAAGAGCAACTGTGCTACCAAAAAGATCGAAGGACGATTTCCTATCACTTCTTGGAGATACTAATCATCCAGAATATCCGATCTACATGATAGGTAATTTGAAGGATAATTTCAACAGCTTCTCGTTGAAATATTATCTTGCTTACCATATGAGACCTTATTTTCAGGTCCAAAACTCTACACATTATGTACGGCAGTAATCAATCTGGATGAACAAATACTAACGATAATTGAAGGGAATCCGAAGAAAGGAGAAGTTTCTCATGTTTTCTCTATGTCCTCGGAAGATTTTAAGATTGCTCAATAAAAAAGCTCTAGCAGACTGCGTTAGCTATGCAGGTTCATATAGGCCTAACACATGACCATCGACACACCGCATGGCTGCAACCTGATGACAAGCAAATAGATTTACAATTTGAGATCATTATCGAACTCGAGGAAGAGTCTTGGTGAAGATTTCTGTAGAAATAAAGCTCAATACCTTTCCATGAATCTCATATTTGATGGGACCGTCTAGCTCAGCTCCTAGTGCCATTAATTTTGTGAATGTACTATTAATGTCTGTCACTGTGAACGATAGTAAAGATGAATATCCCTTCTGCGTGACATGGTCACTGTAAACTGGGTTAGAAACCAGCATTTCCAATTAGAATCAAAACACAGACTCCATTCGCTGAAATGCTGAATCAATTAGACTGATTATTGCATTCCTTATTGTATTTATATACATTGAATTTGCCTTTAAATCTTAAAAATTAGCTCGATTATCAAGTTGAATGAAAATGCAGCCAAATTACAACTACTTCCCCACCAAAAGGAAGCTCATGACAGGGAACTTCACCAGAAAAAAACTACTATATTAAGTTAGTAAAATTCTCTACCTTATCAATAGCGAGAACATTTATAGAATGTAAATTATGTTAATGCAATGCAGTTTATAATATATGGTTTCTTGTAGACAAATTATCAAACAGAAGCAAGGCAGAGAAAAAACCTCGGGGATTGCATGAGGGCGAGCTTGAGGGGACCAGACTGAAGTTCTGCCCAACGGAGAGTGCAGATATTAACAGTAAAGTCAAGTCCCTCCGAGTAGAGCCGAGCTGCTCTTGGGACGTCTTTGTGTAGTTGCAGTATCCACCTGAACGACGCCGCTGCCATCTCGTCTCCACTTTCCCTTCAAGCCTCACTTTTGAATGTGATTTCTCTCTGAGTCAGTGGGAGTGAGATAGCTGAGGTGAACATGATTGAGCCCAATAATTCAAACGCTCCGGTCATAAATGGCCCATTGACAATCACTTAGCAGATTGGGCCCAAAAACAAAATATTGGGTACGTTTGTTTCCCTGTTTTTACACTATCCTATTCCTATTTTTTTTCCAAATTACATCCTTCAATCAATTTGTAACCTTTTAATTTAATCTAATTCCCATTAATTATTTCTGACGTGTATACAAAATGGAATTTGTAAATGACGTTTAATCGAGAAGAGAGGCAACTTTGGAAACTCAAACCAAAAGAAATATACAATTGAAATCACAATCAAAGGTCCAAACCTGGAAACCAGTAAATTAATGCTCATGGTTTTGTCATGATGAAAGTCATTTCATAAACTACAATTAAGTGGTTAACGGTCAATCATGACTCTCAAGTGTATTATTCAAGAGATCTTAAATTTGATCAATCTTGATTATTAATAGAGGTGATCACTGACTCTTAAGTATATTATTCAAGAGGTTTTAAATTTGATCAATCTTGATTGTTAATAGGGGTGATCACTGAGGTACCGTCAACTTCAAGGCCCCGAAAGATTAATTGAAGTTTGCACAAACTATTCAGACATCCCCAATCACCAAAGAAACAAAAAAAGCCACTTCATAGAGAAATGCAATGCACCTATCATTAAGGCATTTCACATCAAGTTTGAACTTTGAAGACGGCAGCTGACAACAAACTTCAAATGAATACACAAAAGGCTTAATTACCCAAAATTGTAATGCATCTCGCAATTCATCTTCATCCATTCTGCAGCTATGTAACGATATTACACTTATTTACAGACTTGAAATTCCAAATTTACTTAAGACAAAAGTACAGCTATGTTTAAGAAACCGCCGCATTCAAGTTTATATAGAGCTGTGGCCGATATTCACAAAACAAAAGCCTTTCAAAGTTCAACTAGGCAGATCCCGTAAGCCTGATGTATCTTCTTTGCATCTAGCTGCATTTTTCAATAGCCTAAGACGAACCTTTAAAAACTTTAAATCGCGAACGTTGGCCCTTTGACCTTGCTTCAAGAAGCTTTGTCTTCAAAGTATTGTCCTTCAACACTTGAGGCAATTTTGTAGAAGATTCTGAAATGTCGATATCTGGGGGTGTAAGTTTCGACATCCACTGGCGTACTGGACTAGCCTGATTCCTCCGTGCAGGATAGCTGCAAGAAGCCTCACCGGAGTTATTCTCGGGATGTATACTCTGCATCCCACCTTCTGAAAATAAAATATGATTTCTTATTAAATTATCTATCATATAGTTTGAGTTTGATCCATGGAGCTCATCATGTTCATTCTTTCTTTCATGACTGTCATCTTCAATAGCTCCACGATTTTCGGATTTATTTGCCATGCTAGATTCAATTGGTTCGCTATCTACCATTTCAGGCCCTTTATTACCATTACTTGAGATGGCCCAAGCCATCTGTTCTTCAAACTTAACTTGCAAACTGGATGGGTTTCGACCCCTTATTCTTTCACGAGAAACGATATTTTTCTTCATTTGGTTATGTTTCATCATTTCATTAGTACGACCATCTACATCTTCACCTCCATGCAACTTCATGTCACCATTGCTTTGTTTGTTCAATTCAAAACAATTTGAATCACTGCCTGCAGAATCTTCCTCATCTCCAACAGCTTGAGGTGCACTCACAGCCTCATTTAGAGGGACGGATTCAAGAGAGTTACGTCTATCCCTAGGCAGTATATTATCATTTCTCTTAGAAGAAGCTGACCGTTTGGCCTGAAGAAAAGTCTCTATTTCAAAACCCAACTTGTCCACTATTGATTGCTTCTCAGGAAAACCACCATGAGCCTCTTCTAGCTTCATCTGCATCCGTTCATCAATCCACGATTCAGATATATGGAGAATCAAACGATCACAATCAGCCTTACCAGCCCAATCCTTGTCAGATTTCTGTTTCAAAGCATGCACCTCCTGTTCATAGTCTTTTATGCCCAAAGCAAATTCATCACAAAGGTCTTCCAAAAGTGTCCTTGATTTTTTCTCTCTTTCTAGATCTTTTAAAGCATTAGAAAAGGAAGACTTCACCTCTGATAGCTCCCGACCTAACTTCCTGTGTATGCTCTCTGACCGTTTTCTTAATTTCCTCTCATCCTCTAGCTCATCCCTCACAGACTGTACAGCAGCATGAATACGATCCTGCTCCTTACTCTTCCTAACTAGCTTATCCTCTGTAATTTGCTTCACCAGATCATCTATTTCATGCCGATCTACCTGCTGATCTCGAAGCAACTCTTTGATCCTCACACGGGAATGGTCTAGCTCTGTCTTCAATGCCTTTATCAATGCTACATTTGAAGCATGCTGTTCCTCCAAGCTCCAGATTCGATTTAATACTTTTAGTAATTCTGTGGATGTTTTAAGATTATACCGCGACTCACCAACTCTTCCTTTAAATTCTATAGAACTGGTGGGAGTGACTGCAGGATTATAGGGTGCCATCTACAGGAGAAAAGTACGTGAGACTATGCCAAAGCTTCAATAAAGCAAAAAGATTACTATCCTAGCTCTGTCTTATTTCTTTCATTGTTTTTTCACATGTACAAATATATTCAGTACAAATGTCAATGAAAGAAAGAAGCCATATTTGTGAGCCTGAGGGATGTGCTAATAGAATACAAAACAAAAGCTCTGCCATGGCTGAAAATTATGAATCATAATCTCGGCAATGTTAACATTACAAATTTCTTTGCAATAATGTCTGTGTGATAACACAAGTAAAGCACTTTAATCACCATGGCCTATCATCCAAACATATCGTTTATCATCATATTTCTAACGCTACAGAAGACACAACTAACAAGAATGCAAAAACGAGGGGCTCAGGCTGGAAGTTGTAGCAGTCTAAACAGTATGGTCCCATGCAAGAACAATTCGTGCAAATATTCATCAAAATCACTCTGCCTCATTCCACTCAAAAAGAAAAAGAGCAACATATTCTCTCAAGCAAAACCTAGTGTTTGCATTGAAGTAAAATCAAACATGTGCTGAAATAATTAAAGAAAAGAACTTGAAGAAATGATATCATACATACCTCCAAGGAACTACCATAACTTGCGGGAGATACAGGCGGCAAGGCACGATTACTTCTTTCAATCGATCGATGATGCTGAATCAGTGATTGAGCAATATGCCTCCTTAAACTGCTTGCACTTTCTGGCTGGTGTAAGAAACAACAGAAAGATCAATGGCAGAAGAGAACATTCCTACCTAAACTAACATAAGATTTATGTTCTTTAGGGACAGCCCAAGACTTAAAAAGCAGCCCCACTTTGAATGGGTTGAAATTAATATACTTCAGCACCCGTTTGGTCACAGTATGGAACTCTTAGTGCTTACTACAAGAAACTTCTACAAAATTTAAACTTCACTTTATGCGTTAAGGACCGCCATCACTTAATGGGAGTTCAAAACATACTTAGACCAATTCAGTGGTTAAAAGTTATGGAGCAGTAATATTCACTTTTCAAGCAACAACTGCACTTCTATAACCCTTAATGAAAGAAAAAAAAAGCCTCTAACTTAACAGAGTGAGGTTCCCAGGAAACAACATATATCATAGCCGAATTGATTTCCATTGCTTCTTTTTGTGACCAAATCATGATAATTAGTGAACGGGCTCAAAAGAGACAATAGAGAGCATAAGATAAAAATCACATTGTTCTATAGCATCAAATTTTATAAGAACCACAAAAACATTAGAATACATAGTTAAACCAATATCAAAAGGTTATAAATGCCAGAAAAAATCAGTAGAATCAAAATAACCTAGAATGGAAGGGAAAAACCCCCCTTCAAATAAAATACTTTACATGCGAACTAGTTAATAAAAGAAATCCCCATTATAATGACCAGTAACTCAGCAACCTGAATTCAACAAACTAATCCCCAAACATCAAATAATCAATCAGCATAAGACTAAAAGTAGAACCCAAACAAACTCAGAAATCAAAATGAACTGATTAATCAATTGCAGATACACAATCAAGTAGTGACAGAAACAGACATGTACCTGTTCAGGAGAACTAGGAGAAGGGTCAGCCAAGAAGTGAGACAAGTCGAAAGCCTTGTCCTTGTAAAGCTGGTGTGGACGGTGGCGGCGCATTTTAGAGTCACTACTGACACCATTGAAGTTAACACCCCGGTGCATTTTAGAGAGAGGAAAGTAGTGATGGAATTCCCAGAGAGCGGCCGCTAGTTTTCTTGCAGAAAGATGAGTGTTTTCTTTAATGGTGCTATCATGCGCCTGCGCCTGCGCCTCAAGAGAAGGCCAAAGTCTCCAAGTAGACGCTGTTGGAGTACTTGGGCCCCCTCTTTTGGCCACCAAGACCCCTCTTCTCAACTTTTCCCCCAAATTTTCCTCCTTTTCTGCTACCCCATGTCCACTTTTTTCTACTCTTTTCATTTTTTTTTTTTTTTCTCTCTCTCTACCTAAACTTCGAGATCGTTTTCCTTTTTATCATTTCTTTTTTCTTTTTTTTTTTTTTTTTAAATTTCGAATTGGGATTTGGTAAAGTTTATGATGATGGTCTTTTGGCTGGTCAGTCAGTCTGGAATTTTAATCTTTTTGTTGCTGTCTGAGACTCTGAGCTGAGTTGAGTTGAGTTGAGCTCGTGCCTTCACACTCTCTTATGATTTGTAATGATCTTCATCTCATGGCAAAAGTGAAAAGGTTTCAAGAGAAGTTGTTCGATTACCTGTCAAGCATTTAGTTTACATCACCCGCCAAAGTGTCATTCATTCATTGTACAGACTACCGACTCTTTAGGAAAACAACAAACTGTAAAAAATGTTTTTACCGAGAGTGCTTTGAAAATTCTTCAAGGGTTTTCTTTCATTTTCCATGAATATGCTGTAATTCTTATGACATTACCATGCGAGAAAATTACTGAGCTTGAGTGGCAGCTCCAAAAGCAGACAGGAGAATAGCCAAATCCATCGCATCAAAACTGATGAAATATTGCTTCATTTCTGATAAATCTTTTACGTGGCGTGCAAAAATTACCGTAGATGTTCTTATGGCTAATGTATATATAATTAAATTAATTATTTATTTTTTGCAGGTGAATCTGCAATGTAGTTTCTGAAGGATCATAGATACGTGTAATAATTTCTTGGATTCTGAAGAGGGTAAATCCACAGTGTAAGAACATTTGCACGAGGGGGCCACGTAGTGTTCAGTGTTTGCCAGGCACCAGTTTGGAAGCCAAATAACACATTAGTCCCTATGTTTGGCTTATTGGGTCCAGAAAATTTAAAATAAACTATCAATCCTATTAGTCAGCTAAATAACAACATAGTCCCTATGTGAATCTTCGCAGCTAAATGAGACATGTGGCATGGAAGTAGTGGTGATTGTCTACATATTGGAGAAAGTGATTTCTGGTTGCAGGGTGAGGACCGAATCAGTGAAGAGTTTGGATGAGTAGCCAAACATTGAAGGAGCCGAAATTTTGTTTAAGTGGGAGCAAGTAAAAAAATTAAAACCTTAAAAAATCGTGTATATCTATTTCAGTTTACACACACTTCAACTAATATGTGGTAGGTGACCACTAAGTGGAACTCGAACACAAAATCTCTGAGTAACCTATGGTTTTGTCATTCGAGTACAAATCAAGTGGTTTAAACAAAAATCGTATATTGATCATGTAAATAAAAAGAGTAATACTACACAAACAAAATTAAAATTCTAATTTTGTATTCCAACCATAGATTAATACTATTATTTGAAAATAGATAAAGATAATTTAATTAAGAGAGAAATAAAAATTAATTTTATTTCGGAATTATAAATCACAATTTTTTGTTTTGCTAATGTAGTCTATATTCAAAATTAAGAAGAAGAAAAAAAGAGTAAGGTTAAAATATGCTATGGGTTTGAGAGAAGAAGGAAAACTTTTTTCCCTAGTAGGATTCAAGTTACTAAAGCCAATCCTCAGGGATGAAAATAAACTTCTCCCTATTTGGGTTGGGCATAAGATGTACGGCACATTAAGGTAGAAGTAATGATACATAAACTGAAATATTGTACTGAATTCATGCATCGAATCCTGACTATTGATTAATTTTAATTTAATATTAATTCATAATCAAAATTTTATCACGTCATTCAATGCATAAAATTAGTGTATAATTTTCGATGACTGCATCATTTCCGTTAAAGCTAGACTAGACCGCCTGGAGGATGGCTTGGCTTCCGATTTGCGTCTTTAGATTCTCTGGATCCAACAGTCTTATTTTTTTCTTTTCGTGAATGGCATGAATCGTTCTCCACACACAATCTTGAAAGTACAACAAACAAAATAAAAACAATAAACAATTATAAAAGATGGCCCAAAATGTTGTCTGCCATCAGAACATTCTGATCTAACCATTACTCGGCCATGGTGCACCAGCCCCAGGCCTTTTAAAAGAGTCCAATGTCTCCAGTGAACTGGCTACTGTTTAACAAGTTCAAAATTTTGGTGTTCGAGGAGTTCAAGTTTGTGGGTCATTGGATTCGTACAGTTGACACTTATGTCATTAATGTCATCCTCTGTAGAAGAAGAGCATTTAATTTCAATTATGGTAACCCTTACTGGCCTGAGGTTTCCATCTATTTCAATGGCGGGGACCAGACCAAATGGGCATTCAAAAGCTCTAATAAAAATGGAAAAAATCCATGAAATTATAAAAAATTAGGTTAGAAAAATAATAAAAATAATACTACACATATAACATTACGTTATAAAAAATGATTAGGTAAAACTTAAATGTTATATAAAAATGTTGCATGTGTAATATTACTTAAAGTTAGTAGGCAAGTGAGAGGAAACTAAAATGAATAGAGCCGAGTGCAATGGCACACGATTCTAATTGTCTTAGTTGAGTTAATTTCTTCTTTCTTCCCAAATCTCACGTTTAAGGATGCGTAGACTAAAATGGTGAATCTAATACTCTTCGGTCACTGCATCCATGATGATGAGAGAACATTCAGAACCTGAAAAGAGGTTAAAGAAGAAGAAGTGGGAACATGGACAACTGTGAGGTTCCATCAAATTAGTAGGGTTTACAAGTTTTTTCTTTCAACACGCACGTAGAAACATCGAAGAGTTAATGGTCAGAAAATAGATCAATATAAGAATATTATAAGAAATTATTCATCTTAAGTAACTGAAAACGTGATTTCACAAACGTGATTTCATGCATGATATAATACAAAGAAACTTCGAGATCTGAAAATTCCTGCGAATTCTTTGATCAGCAAGTTCGATGCTGATACCAGTTTAAAAATTTGTCATCAACTAGTTGTTTATAATTAATGATAAAGATCCACTGCATAGTTAGTAAATACGGATACAGTAAAAAAACGGTATGGGAATTTTACGGGTATGATACGACAAACGGTGAAAAATTCGGCCTTAAAATTCGGATACGGGAAAAATACGGTATGGGTATATACGGGTTTAATATGGTATATTTCAATAATACGTTTTGAAAAATACGGCAATATTAATCCTGATTTTAGCACTTTTATGATCATTGAATTAATCATTCTCTATTTTTTCTTATAGGTATATGATTTATATCATTTTAAATTATAATATTTTAGTTTATAAAAAAATATATTATTTGATTCATAATCAATTATTACAAATATTATAGAAGCGGACCAATTATTAAATAAAACAAATGATTTTATTTGTCATTAAGTTGAAGAAGAAGAAGATAAGACGAACAATTTCCTTATAGGTGTTTGTTGAAGAATAGTTGAAGAGGAAGAGAGGTAGAGGCGCCAACAAAAGAGAAAAAGAGAGGAAGAGGGCGCCAAAAAAGAGGAGAGAGGAAGCACGCGCAGAAAAGAGAAGAAGAAACGAAGAGGACGCCAAAAAAAGAGACAAAGTATAAAACGACATCGTTTTGATCAGATTTCACCTAAAATGATGTCGTTTTGACTCATTAAATAATAAAATTTTATTTTTAAAAATACGGTCGAATTATACGACTAGTGCATATAATTCGCGTATAATTCGATTGTGCTTATAAAATATAGGAATTCGTGTTTTATACGCAAATTATACGGTTGGGCGCATAATTCGTGCATAAAACGTGAATTTACTAACTACTGGACAGAGGAAATCATATATCTTAGGGAGAATGACAATTTCTCACCAATGTTTGGCGAAATTTTCGCACCCAAAAGGTTTGAAAAAAGAAATTTGAAATTTTCACTATCTTTAAGATTAGTCCGTTTACTTTAATCGTAGAAGGAAATGATGGTAAATTTAAAAAAGAGTCAAAGGTAATTATATCATTTTGCCCCTACATATGAGGAAAAAAAAAACCCTTAAATTCAAACACTTTTATCTTTCTTTCCTTCCCTACCACCCCAAAACCCTCGGCCCCCAATGTTTTTTCATACCCAACAGAGTAAAAATCAAGTAGCAATTAACTTCCATCCTTTGTTTTGTTATATTGTTGTTATTTGGGATAACAGGTTATGTTTTGTAAAATGTTTTAATAACTGACCCGGGGCGAAACTTGGTAAAGTGATCGGGTCCTGGGTTGACTAGTTGAACCGATTTGACCGACGGGTCAAACCGGTGATGTCATCATGCTGCAAATACAATCCAACACCATCCAAACAAAACTGCAATGTTCCGTCAATGCAAAACTGCAAGCAAAAATTGCAGTTTGCAAAATATAAAAATTAAAACTTGTCTTGTTGGGGAGATTAAGTAAATAAAACAACCCAAAACCAAATACTACAATTTTTTTAAACAATTGAAATTATGTCATATAATTTTTCCCGATAGGTTGCTCGTGAACCCCAAAAATCTGAAATTTTCTTTGTTTTTAAATCATTATACTCAATCTCTTAGCATGCATTTCTTCTTTACCAAGTTTTCATCACAAAGCATTCCAATAATTTGCAATTTACCAAGTTTTTAAGAAACCCAAAATTTAGATGAATGCGTAAATGATAAATTTATAAAATAAATAAATCATACTTAGTTCCCTTTTCCCTCAAAATCGAAAACTATTTAGGCGAAAGAACCGCACGCCACTCCTCTGGTTTCTGGACAGACCTAAATGCGGCCATGGCCACAACAAACCCACTGCGAAAGTTGTACTTGTTGTGGTGAAAATGGAGAGAGCCGCTGAACTCAGATGAGGAAATGGAGCAAGCGGCAGGTTTAAGAGAAGAAAAAGAGGTTAAGGTGCACTTGGTGGAGAGTGAATGAGAAAAGAAAAGAGAGTAGTGGTAGGCTTGGTTGTGGAGGTGAAGAGAAAGGATTTGTGGAAGAGATAGGCAAAGTTCTAAGAACTTGAACTTTAATTCCACCCAAAGTGGCGAAGAAGAACTGAAGATCGTTACCTTGTTGACGACGACTGTCGAAAATGCGTTGACACTAATTGCCAAAAATGTGTTGATGACGATTGCCAAAAATGCAGAAATGGTGAAGATGAAATGAAGCTAAAGTGAAGAATGAAGCTGGAATGAAGATGAAATGAAGAAAATGCAGGTGGAAGAGAGAAAATGTCGAATGAAAACTGAAAAGGAGAAATTAGATTTAGGTTTTTACAAATTAGGATGGGGTTAAGAGTAACCCGGTTTTGGCTTAAAAGCGGTTAGACCGACG